TTTTAATATAACTCCGACTGGATTCGTCTGAAAGAAGAAAGTCATATACTCCTAGGATGACTTGAGGGTGAGTAATTTATGGGCTAATTTTCATTTTTGGGTGAACTAACCCTTTAATGCTTTTTCTATTGAGGTGAAGGTCTGTCTGAGGTAAACCATCGTGCAGTGCATCTGTCACAAACAATATCCTGTCCGGAAACCATCTGAGTTGAGGGTTGAGTGGTTTGCTTGCTTTTTTTCCTGCCATTTAAATAATCAGGGATGAAAAAAACAACAACACTGAAATATTCATTGCTTACCCAAGAGGGTGGAATATTGTGTCAAATAACGCTAGCAGAATTTATATTGTAAAAATGTATTTATGCAAAAAGCAATAAATTTGCAATTTATATGAAAAAAAAATCTGTTTTTGTTTTATTTTCCAATCTTTCACATTTCACTCTAGCACTAGTTGTGTGAGCTTGCTTTTCTCGTAAAATGGAAAAAAGCCTCCACATAAAATCATAATGTGCTGCAATTCGCAAAAACATAAAAACTAATAGAAACGTTTGTTTTGCAGTTTGTGGGTGAGCACTTTTAAAGATCTCCGTTATGGCCTAAGGGCGCTGCGGTTCAGAATGCACCGTGCAGACGTGAGCGCGAGTGGCAGTCGATATGGAAGCATTTGCTATGATGCCTTTTTACTTGTCACCCCCAAGGCTAGTTTTCACGAAAGGGCAGCGAGACATGTAATCTTTCTGCAGAATAAAAAATTACACCCACGGCTCTCTATATGTCTGACAAAATTGACACTGTTCACACCAAGGACGATAACGATAAAGATATAGTTCTAAAAATCGTTCTCAACATTAAAGAATAGCAGAGTCCACACCACAACTATAACGATAAAGACAAAGGGAAACTATATCGTTGGAATCACTTTCAAAACGATTTTTCTCCAGCTGATGAACGATAAAAAATTGATAGCCAATCAGAATTCATCCTGCTGTAACGAGCTCGAGAATTTAAAGCGTCAGACGCATGTGCGCTTAGAATAAACAGACGATATTGTTCGCTGGTGTGGACGCTAATATCGTTATCTTTATAGTTATCGTTATCGGTGTGAACGGGGCTTAAGGCGATAAAGATATAGTTCTAAAAATCATTCTCAATATTAAAGAATAGCAGAGTCCACACCACAACTATAACGATAAAGCCCCGTTCACACCAAGAACGATAACTATAAAGATAACGATATTAGCGTCCACACCAGCGAACGATATCGTCTGTTTATTCGAAGCGCACGCGTGTCTGCCGCTTTAAATTCTTGAGCTAGTTACAGCAGGATGGATTCTGATTGGCTGTCAGTGTTTTATCGTTCATCAGCTGGAAAAAAATCGTTTTGAAAGTGATCACAACGATATCGTTCCTCTGTATCGTTATAGTTGTGGTGTGAACTATGCTATTCTTTAATATTGAGAACGATTTTTAGAACTATATCTTTATTGTTATCTTTATAGTTATCGTGCTTGGTGTGAACGGGCCTTAAAGACAAAGAGAAATGATATCGTTGGAATCACTTTCAAAACGATTTTTCTCCAGCTGATGAACGATAAAAAATTGACAGCCAATCAGAATTCATCCTGCTGTAACGAGCTCGAGAATTTAAAGCGTCAGACGCATGTGCGCTTAGAATAAACAGACGATATCGTTCGCTGGTGTGGATGCTAATATTGTTATCTTTATAGTTATCGTTATCGGTGTGAACGGGGCTTTAATCTGTCTTGATACTCAACAAAAATTAAAAAAACTGGCAAACTACAAATACACTATACAAACTAATAATAACAGAGCCGCAATTCACAAAGGTGTACTAAAGTTCCAGCCCTGGGCTTCAATTAATGGAATTGCATTCCTTTGAATTAATGGAATTGCGCATGCCATCACAACCATATCCATCATTGATGATTATTATCGATATGGATATGTATAATGACAAATATTCTGATGTTAGCATGCAAGTCTTTGTTGACAAATGTTTGAATTTATATACAGGGCAATAGGAAACACTCAGGGTTACAGTAATAACTTATCGAGGGGACAGAATTTTTTTTTAATGATATTTTTAATTACTTTTTTTTTAATAACAGCCTTTTTTCCGATTATAAAAATTACAGAAAAATTATATTTTAATAAAAAAAAAATAATAATAAAATCTGAGAGGAAATATAGACCAGTAATGCTGGTGAAGGATTGCAAAGAAAAAGCAAGTAACACATTAAGCATGAAGTTTTGAAGTAGAAAGAATTTTTGTAAACCGTACTCCAGTAATCTTTGTTTTATTTACAACTTTGAGAAATCATTTTTGTCAATTTGACTTGCTTTGTATAAGATGACAAATCCATGGAACCAATTAAACCAACAGATGCTCTTGCAAGTTTTAGTGTGCAAATCCATCAAGGCAGTTAATGGGCCAGCTCAGTGTTTGGCCTTTTCCCCCTCGCTTAGTGCTTTCCATCTGTCTTTCTTTACCCACTGATCTGGTGATGACATTAGACCTGACTTCTTTGATGCAATCGTCTCAGTCGTCTCTTGCTTTGCGTCATGAACTCCACCATCACAAAACCAAACCAAACCGAGAGAGAGGGAGCACATTTTTTCAATCAACAATAGCCTAGAATCTGCCTCGTTTTGACTTTGTGTTGGATATGGAGTTGGACAAGCTGAATGAAAACAGAGATGTGTGTTGCTTAGATACTGGCTAGAATGAGATAAAAATATCTGATGTTAGCCTTGGTCTGACTCCACATGAAGAGCTCCATGGAATATCGATAATAAACAATTATAGTTTTGGTTAATGTTTAGATTTTAAATCTTAGTTAAAGTTTTAGCAATTTTGTTAAGCTTTTGTAGTTTTTATTTTAAATGTCTGTATAGTTTTTATTCATTATTCATATATTCATTTTATTTTTTTGTGATTTTTAGTTAATTTCAGCACTCCAGGTTAATCTAAATAAATGTTTTCTTTAAAGATTTTTTTATTTTATTATTAATCTCTTTTTCCTTTAATTAGTTTTAGTAAACTAAAATAACTGGCATAGAACCATTTTTTTGTTTGTTTTTATTATTATTGTTTATTTCAGGCTGTTTATTTATTGATTCATTCCTAAAAGGGTTTTTTCAGAGTGATGCCATATAAGAACCATTTTTGGTTCCTTAAAGATCCTTTTTTTCACTATAAAGAACATTTTGTGAACCTTATGAGTTGTCATGGAACCATAGATGCCAAGAATGAATAACAGTGTAATATGGACACTCGTGAAACTAAAGTGCACAAATATAGACAATGAGTTTTGTCAACTCAAGAGCCCCTGGACATTGCAGAGTGTAGTTAATGTGAGATGTGAGTTCTGTAAAAACTCAAGTGCTGGCCCATTTCATGACACTTTTTGCATTCTGCTGTTTATCATTTGCACAGCTGTTTGGTGCACTGATGTGTGTAGTAGAGTGAAAATATGCCTAAGGTAAACAAATGCTCTGGACATACAAGGTTAAGGTAATGGGGTGATCTGTACTGGTTAATAGATGTGTGCCATGTACGTAAACTGAATGTCATCTCAGTTTAAGTTACGTAAATTATTTAGTCATGTTGTTGCTATAAGATAGTTCACATGCATTCTTTAGGTGTGTTTTTTCTCTCATGTTAAGAAACTATTTGAAAGCACATTGGGGTCTTGTTAGCATGCAAGTTCACTGAGGTGTGGTCCGTATCTATAGGGACCAAAAATCAGAAAACATTACAAATTCAGGATTAAAAATCTAATTTTAACCGTGAAATTAAAAGTTAGAGATTTAGAAATCTTTTAAAGAACTATGGTGTAAAATAAATATGATTGATTAAAAGATTATTTTTAATTCAATTTTTCACTCATTTTGTTATGCTGATAGTATAACTTGTAATGGAAAAATTATTACAAGAATGAAAGTAAGAAATTGGAATAAAGAGTTTTCAATATAATGCTCTTAGACCTTTGGACCCAATTATTCCATACAGGAGGGTTGAACCGCTGTTGATCTGATTTTGTTGTTTTGAGTAGTCTTTAATGAGATGATTATTTCCCAAAGGCTAGGAAACATAACTATATTAATCCATATATCCTTTTCCATCTGATAATGACACACATGCACACACACTCATATGTAGTGCTGTCTGCTTCTGTAAAAAAAAAAAAAGGCAACAATGTAATAATGATTCAGTTATTTTGTACTTGCATTTTATAAAACGTTTCGAGGTTGCAGTGACAGAGATATCCATTACATTTGTCAGTTTCAAAATTACCTCACTGTAATAAAACCATGATACATAATTCACCTATAAACATGCAAATTACAACAAAATAAGTGCAAACCACAGTTTTGCTGGACAACATATAAAAATTGCCAAATGAAGTTTAACAGTAAAGTAGTTAGAGAACATACTGTAGCAGAACAAAGACATCTGTCAAAAAAAAGACCTAAATATCCAGCTTTAAGAAGAGCTTTAGTTACACACAGTATCAAATTATACCTTCATTTAAACTTTAAATGCATTACTCAAAATGTACGTAGTGTTTACCCACATAAATCTCAGCTGTCTGAAAACAGCAGTTTGTTTCACAAGCATTAATCACATGAACATTAATCACTCAAGTTCCATTGAGTGGGCAAAACAGTCCATGTCCAGATGTTTCCTCTCTTCTATTTAATATTCATTGCAGTCTCCAGGTCTCACGTTACACTTGAACCTTCAAAGACATCTGTCAAAAAAAAGACCTAAATATCCAGCTTTAAGAAGAGCTTTAGTTACACACAGTATCAAATTATACCTTCATTTAAACTTTAAATGCATTACTCAAAATGTACGTAGTGTTTACCCACATAAATCTCAGCTGTCTGAAAACAGCAGTTTGTTTCACAAGCATTAATCACATGAACAATAATCACTCAAGTTCCATTGAGTGGGCAAAACAGTCCATGTCCAGATGTTTCCTCTCTTCTATTTAATATTCATTGCAGTCTCACGTTACACTTGAACCTATACTTTTCTCATAAAATGCACCGTCCCCAGTGGAAACGGTAAATATTGAATCATAAATGTAATGTTTCTTCTACCGTCTTAAAACATCTCTTTGTTTCTGGAGGGCAATACGGATAGTTTCACATATTACCAATGCGCGCGTCCCATCTGACCATGAAACTTTTACGCACTTAGAACGATCCCACGATGACCGCTTCGACATCCTTTGACGGTCTTCTGTCCGTGACCAGAAAGTTGATCATGCCCTCGGACTTAATGAGCAAGTTGCAGCCTAAAAAGAAGATGCCGAAGACCACGGTGAGCGCCAGCACGCACATCACCGCGATCTGCACCGTGCGCATGATGAACACGCTGCGCTCGTCCAGCGCCGTGGACACAAACCCGCTGTCCGTCACCACTGAGGACAAATTACAGCACGAAAGAAAGCTCTCGCTGCTTCTGTTGGGAAACAAAACACTGTCTGTGTCGTTAAAAACCGTTGAATTCATTCTGAACTACTATCCGGGTTCCTTTGGAAGAGAGGAGCAGGTGCGTACAAAAGTGCTTTAAAGTCACAAGCGCAAAGAAGAGCTTGACAGAATGTATGGGCCGACATGCAGTAAAGAGGATGGTTCTTCTCGGACCTGTTCTTTAGGTAATTAGGGGCTCTGGTCTGCAGAGGACAGGGGTCTGACTCCTGAGAACTCACACAATCAAGGCTGAGCTCGTCCCCTGCGACTAGAGTTCAGTGTTTAGCTGCGCTCACTGCGGTATTCGTTCACATTGCGCCCCCTTTGACACAAACTGAAAACGATAGCGGCCGGAATAAACGTAGACTCGTTAACTGTTACCACCAAATTGCAAGGCACATAACATTTACTAGCATCTAACTAATCAGTATCTCGCCTAATTTGTATGCTATTATTGTAGGCTACCTAGTTTTAATAGTCACTCACTAGTGATTTTATTAGAACCTTTTTGCTCATTCCAATAGAGACTGTATTCAGTTATTCATTACATACATAGGCTACTAGCAGTTATTCTTTTGCTTCTAGTTAGTTTACTAGTAGTGACAAGCAACTATTCCATAAAATGCACATTTTGATCATTGAATTGTAAGTATGTGATTCAGACATCACTTCTGGTTATAATGTGTTCCAGTTGTAACTAGTAAATAACTATGATGTACTAGTATTCTTTCTTTTTTAACTTAACTATAAAGTAACCATTCTGACAAGTCATTACATATAACAAGTAAAAAAGCAATTAGTGACTATTAAGATGAACTATTAAGCCCGTTTAAGATATGTTACCAGTAAAAATTGGGATATAAGTCTTGTAATGCCATCTCATAAATGTCCTAGTACTATAGTACTAGTAAAGTTGGAATATATGCTACTAGTTCCTGATAAGTAAGAGTATTACCCAGCTAACTTTGGCTAACGTTCTGGCAAGGTTTTCTCAAAGTAATGAACCAGTAATGTTAGTAGAAATCTTGTTACATGTTATCTGGTCTTTGATAATGTTCTCAAAATGTTAGCAAAGAAACATTATTTATACATCGTCTGAACATTTTTTTTTTCCTGAAACCGTTTAGTTGGACATTTGTCTAACATTTTTTAAATGTTACTACTTAATTCAGAGCATTTAAAGAACATTCAAAAATTCCCATAATTTTAGCAAAATTATCAAATGGAATGTTCCTTTAAAGGGGTCATATCGATTTTTCCTTTCTCTTTGAAGTGTTACAAGCTCTTGGAGCTTAAAGAAGATCCGTAAAGTTGCAAAGACTAAAGTCTCAAATACAAAAAGATATTCTTTATAAAAGTTAAGAGTCAACCACGCCTACCTAAAACGGCTCGTTCTAACATGCCACGGGGTCGTCACGTGGTTGCCGCAAGCCCGCCGGCCGCTCCTTCATTGAATCCGCCGGCGGCTTTGAGTGAGCGGAGGCCAACGGGCTAGAGTGAGGAACGGCCAGCAGGCAGGCTTGAGAACGGCGCGGCCGGCGGGCTTGCGGCAACCACGTGACGACCCCGTAGAAACAATAATGTACAGTATGTGGAAAATAATGTGTTTTTTGAACCTTAAACCACATAAACACATTTCATTACACCAAATACACAAAATAATGTTCTTTTTAGCAACATCATATGACCCCTTTAACATTTGTATAACCACGGAAAAAAAAAATTTGTAAACATTTTTTAAAAAACTGGTCATTTTGATCATTCAGAGATCATTCACCAATAATGTTTTTATAGCTTAATGGTAACATTAGCAAAACATTCTTAGAACATGTTGTTGTTAACTGGGTAGTAGGCAATGAATAGTCACTAGTAACACTGGAATAGTTACCAGAATCAGTAGAACAGTACTGGGATAGTGATCTGCACCGTGATCACTTGTCAACCAAACAATCAATACTTAACTGGTGTAAAAAATTACAAAAAAACATCTAATCAGTAATGGGTTACTTACCAATAATTAAAGTAAGTACCAGTGGCAAAAAAATAGATAATAGTAAGTTTTAAGGAATAAATATTACAATGGCTTACAGAAGTTTGGAAAACTAATTGCATTGGTTAGATGAATTAGTCCTATTTTATTTTGCTTTGAAGTATTACATATTATGTCCACTATTTATAAATGTGTGTTTCGCACAAGATAACTAAAGGCTAATTAGTCGAAACATGAATTGAGTATCATCTGTGATGAGGTGGTCTGCAGACACACATGCAGCAGAGGGCAGAGTTGCTCCTAAAATGTCTCTTCTTTACTGTCATGGACATATAATGCAGAAAATAGAGTTTTAATTACAGCCACGTTGATTATTCAAGATCCAGTTCACAAATTTTAATAAAACAAGCAACATAACAAATCCAACTCTAAAGTGTAAGCACATACTTAGTCACCGTGCTGTGACTCACAGTTGGGTTTAACTTGAAGATGGAAATCCATAATTAATGAAACCATATAAACCCTCAGGAATGAGAGATGTCCTTGTAAACATATGGATAGAGAACAGCAGGATTACCATGGAAATATATGGGTGCAATATATCCATTAGAAGCCACCGATGGGTTGTGCAACCTGGCAGTTATAGATAATCTTTTTAATATGCTATTGTTTACACGGAGTCTCAGGTGAAAATCTGTGCTCCCCTATAGCAATTGACTGTACTTGCACAATATATGCTCCGTGTGCTCCTTTAACTACTGGTTATAGTATTTATATTGCTTTGAGATCACATCTTAGTCATATTTTATTTTATGCTTTTTCAGGGTTAAATGCGTCTTGAACAAGCACTTAACAGCATCAAAGCTCTTAGATATCAGGCATATAATACATCCTAAAAGCCCCTTTTGTGAAGCATTCAGTAGTGGGAAGAAGAATCGATCATGGAGGGTGCTTAGATCCTCTCAAACCTGGCCTTTTAATCAACAGCCCGGTAAACAAGATCTGCGCAATGTAAACACATCCCACAATGCACCTCCTGGAGTGAGTCCATCAACAAGGGTCTTTTGAGCAGCACTGGGGGTCTTCTCTCATGAAGCCTATTTTGCATGTCTTCTCTGTCCCGTATCACCCTCTCTATGTGTATATGAATCATCAGACCTATCCAGTAGAGAGAGAGAGAGAGAGAGATGTGCTCTCAGGACATAGTGCTATTCCTGTCTGGGTGTTTCTGTGCACATTGAAATGCGCTCTCTTTCAATGATTTCTCTGAGCGCTTGCTTTTCTCCCTCAGTGGTGGAGGGCGGTGGAGGCAAAGAGGGAAAGAGAGAGAGAGGGAGAGGAGGAAGAAGAGTGGGTGGTTATGGGTAAAACAGGCTACAGATGGAAGAGAACAAAAATTTGTCATATGGAGAGATTCAGGAGAGATAGAAACAAGGCAAAAGAAGCATCTGAAATGATTGCGGGGAGAAAAACAGAAACATTTTGAAGTATTTTAATAGAAGCTGAACCTTATGATGATGTTGATCAGGTAGAAGTTAAAATCTGTTAAAATGACCTATGATGCGTGACTGGCAATAACATTTATATTTGTGCGTTAATGTAATGCAATCTCCTTATATTCTAAATAAAACTGCCTCCATTTTCTTAAAAGCTATGCATATTTTAAAGTGCACTCTTAAAAATTAAAGGGGTTCACCAAAAATCCTTTCAGGTCTTAAAATAACCATTTTTAAACATTTTAAAAATCTAAAGAACCTTTTTCCACTATAAAGAACCTTCTGTGCAATGGAAAGGTAGAGATAATAAAGGTTCTTTATGGAACCATCAATAGCAATAAGGAACTTTTATTTGTGTGTCTTGCATTTTAACTACATGATTACTAGGCAGGTCATGTGTATTTTCTGTATAAACATCTTTTGTCAAACAAGACTGGGATATTTTGTAATATGATGTGTCTTTAGTTATATAACAGAATGCATGTTGCTTACCAAATAGCTCAGAGCAGTTCTGCTAAAACATGATCTAAAAGCAAAAATGTGTGATATGCTTGGGATTTTTTGGCTGGTTGATATTTATTTGTTGGCACAGTCTTCTTTCTAAGCTCTGGGGACAAGAATGTTGAATGTCAGGGCTTTTAAAGGCATCACTCTGATGAACTCTGCCGTCTAGTGATTATCACTTCTCAACCTGTCATTAGCTTCCCGCTGTGCTGATGAATCTGTTTAGTAAACAAATGGGCAGACTTTCTTTTCCAGAGTCAGAGAGGGGGTTTTTGGTTACAGCGCCAGTGGTGATAAAATCATCTTGCATTATTCCAATCGTTATGTGTCATTCTCACCAGTGACATCATTAGAAGCTGCATGGACACATTTCATTGTGTTCCCTCGGTCCTCCTCCAGCGGTATAATTATTTCTTTAAGTCATTAAGGCTTTATGGAGAAGACATGGCAAGAGTCTTGAGGAAAACCTCAGCTGGCATGAAGCAGTTGCGCTAAGCTAACAGTCACGATGTGCTTTTGCAGCATTCAGACAAGTGCATGTTGTGTCTGATGCTTGGTCTAATAAGCATGCCGTTGGTGTTTGCATGTGTATGGGATTGTCCTTGGTGCAGACACCCTTAAGCTTGTTCTACACCAACCCGATACTTCACAACAAACAGAGCATCCTAATGGTGCACTTGGATTTGAATGCTTCCAAAAACAACAACAAAATAGCCTAAACTAGCAGGTTCAGCAAAAGGACTTAAAATAGCCACATCCTGTATTTGTGTTTGCTTTCAAAAGAGCTCACTGTGCATGTGTAAATGTGCATACTGTATAATGGGAATCTGAAAGATCAGAACTGAGAATGGGAGAGATATACCATTGCACAAGATGCTCTTTACAGTGGAAGAAGTATCAAGATTATTAAAATGTTATTCACGCTAAGAAACAAAAATGTTCTTTTAAGAACTGTTCAGTGAAAGGTTCTTTTGGAAAACCCAAAAGCATTTTTCTATCTACCCTCTTAAAAATAAAGGTTCTTTATTGGCATTGATGGTTTCCTGAATAACCTTTAAAATCCATGGAAACTTTCCATTACACAAAGGAAAAAGGTAATTTTGATTTTTAAAATGTTCTTCACACTAAGAAAAAAAAGTTTCTTCTAAATACTGTTCACTAGAAGGTTCTTCAATGGCATTGCTGTGAAACCCCCCTTTTGGAACCTTTATTTAAGAGTGTGTGACATCGCTGTGAAAACCTCATCTTTATTTGTAAGAGTGTACCTGATGACGTTTGTCACAGTCTTCCATTGTGGATAGTGCTGACACTTCCAGAGCAGCAGAGTCAGTCCATTATAGACTGGGAGTCATTTGCATGACTCCAAAATAACACACTAATTGTGTCCTTATCTTCCAGCACCCTGCCTGGCTTGAAATGGGAAGAGATGGAAAATCTCAGAGTTGGAAAAGGACACACAGATGTCAAATACGGTTTTGGAGAGAAGTACAGTGAGTGTTTTTCTTTAAGATAGTGTCAGAAAATGACGTATAGCTGGGTCATAAATAAGCCCTGGTCATAAAAGTTTGCTTTAGAAGCTTAATCAAATGAAGAATGTCTTTTGTTAAAGAAAGCTTATTCCCTCTGCTCTGTCTGACACTGATGTGACAGTATATTCATCACCTGTATCTTCTTCATCCATCATTTTGACACATAAAGGGCCAAATATATTAAAGGCTGGACATGAATTATTTTCTGATAAATTGTAGTCTGGTTGACTGTTTACAGAAATTTCTGTCAGAAATATCAGTGCAAGATCAAACGACTTTAAAAAGTGTTTTTGTTAGAAAATAAATTAAAACATAAAACTAAATCATCTGTAAACTGTACAATATGTTTGCCTATTACTATTTTGCTATGGAACACCTTTACCTGCCCTGACAGCTCATTCAAAGTGCGCATGTCTGTTTATGTTTTTAAATGGATAGTTCACCCAAAAATGTAAATTTGATGTTTATCTGCTTACCCTCAGGGCATCCAAGATGTAGGTGACTTTGTTTCTTCAGTAGAACACAAACGAAGATATTTAACTCAAACTGTTGCAGTCTGTCAGTCTTATAATGGAGGTGAATGGGAATCACGGCTTTGAGAGTAAAAAAAACATACACAAAACCAAATTAAACCCTGCAGCTCGTGAAGATGCATTGATGTGTAAAGACACGAAACGATCGGTCTGTGCAATATCGTTTTTTACCTCTGATGCACTGCAATGTCTGAACTGTTCTGAGCACGTCCTCGACAGCCGGTGTGTGACACGCCTTCTTCATGCTTTACGGCGGATCACAGACTTATAAGTGCATTACCGCCACCTATCTCTCAAATGGACCATTGACACTCCTAATTGA